GCAGCCCGATTCGTAACCACTACGCTACCAGAGCTCCTTTATTTTTAATTATAGAAAACCCAAAATAAAACTCACTGCCATTGAATCAATTCTGACTCTAACAACCCTATATAAGGTTTTTAAGATTAAATCTTTATAAACCTGAGAGGAGCAGCTACTGGATTTGAACTGCTGACCTTGCAAGTATGGGCCCCACATCTAACCCACAGCACCACCAAAGCTCTTTGTGGATTTGTTCTGTGCAGATATTATAGCCCTGAAGCAAGCTCCTAAATCTTTCAGAAGCTAGTGAACAAGGATTAAAAAAAAAAAAACACACACAGTGGGGAAAGGAAGAACGTATGTGAAACTTCTCCTGACTAATCATCATGACATAATTTTACAAATTATTTAACTTATTTGGAATGATGCTTACAAAGCGTATCATCACTATGTCTTGAATAAAAAAAAAATTTTTTTCTTGAATCTCAAATCCATTGCTGTTAAATCTATCCATACTCATATTAACCCTGTAAAATAGATTAAAACTGCTCCATAGAGTTTCTAGGTCTTTAGGAAATCTTAATGAAGGCCAACTGACACATCTTTCTTGTACAGAGGCTGGGAAAACTGCTGACCTTCTGGTTAGCAGCCAAATTCTTAACCACTGGGCAACCAAGGTTTTCTATGTCTGATTTATTGTTGTTGTTAAGTGCCATCAAGTTACTTCTGACTCATAGCCAACCTGTATGCTGTTTCCAAGGAACAGCTGGTGGGTTTGAACTGCTGACATCATGGTTTGCAGTCCAGTGCTTATCCTACAGTGCCACACCAGGAGGCCTATGTCTTGATTACTGAGATTATATTAATATTTTTGTTTTAATTTACCAGGTTACAACAAAAAGTACAGCTGCTATGGTTCCTTTTCATACATGCTTAGGCATATTCCAAACAAAGCCTGTTTAAACATGTCTCTGCAATCAGTGGATGACTATAAACAAATTCTCTTAGTCTTGTTACAATGCCTTCAAAAGCATAATAGTAAGGATACCTTTTGCGGCATGGGGAAAATAAAATGGTTAGGGCTAATGTTAGTATTTTAAAAACTTAAGCACACATCTTCTCAAATCATTGAAGCTTTGCAACAAATTTATGAGAATGCTTCCCAACATTGTTGTTGTTGTTAGGTGCCATCGAGTCGGCACTGACTCATAGTGACCCTATGCACAGCAGAACGAAACAATGTCCGATCCTGGGCCAACCTCACTACAGTTGCCACACTTGAGTCCATCAATGCTGCCACCTGGTCAATTCATCTTGTTGGGGGTCTTCCTATTTTTCTCTGACCCTCCATCTTACAAAGCATGATATCCTTCTCTAGCGACTGTTCCCTCCTAACAATATGTCCAAAGTATGAGAGACGAAGTTTGGCCATCTTGGCCTCTAAGGAGCACTCTGGCTGCACTTCTTCCAAAACAGATCTA